TATATATATATATATATATATATATATATATACAGTGGTTGTATTTCCCTTGGCCGATCAGCTGATCGTTCGCGCCATTTTCATTCGCGTCAGCCTGCCTGTTGTCAAGCGCTTGAAGTTCGGCGCGTGAATGAAAATGTTCTCACGGAATTCATAATTACAATTGCAAACTGAAAATGGTTCTAATGGAAAACGGGGACATTTCGCGCTTTGAGTTTTCTCAAGCGCTGTAGTCGTCTAGCACCGGAACCCACACAGATCGCCACTCGTCGCGCGGGAGTTGGTTTTCGGAGGCGGGTTCAGTGTGAGATCAAACAAGGAGCAAGTAAATATGGAAGCAAGTAAGCATTCTTGTCTCACATAGTTGCAATTGTCGGCAAAATAAGGATCATATTTTCACGAAACATCATTGCCGATATCCCATGCAGCAATAAGATAATGCGTATGACAGCGAGAGTAGGTACTTACACATGCGTACGACATAACACATGCAGAAGGGATATCACCATCAACCACACATTTCTAAGCATTACATGGTATGAATTCACACGTTCACACTCTAATTCTGGTGACATCTCGTGTTATATAACTCCGTTCACAACTAGGCAAGATATTACAGACTAGAAAAAAATGTGAGAAGAAACACAAATGCTCGGTATGCTGCTATCTTAACGGAGATATGCATTAGAGAAAACCTGCCTCCGCCTGAAATGGCGGAAAACTCAAATTAAATGGCAGAACCTGCTTCCACCCTACCGCCTACCGGCCACGCATCCGCTACATACCGACGATAACATGATGCTCTGACATTTGTCTCGGTGTTCATACATGCGATCGGCTGCTTGTCGCCTAACGCCTACAACGCATCTCCCGTTTCAAGAGCAATTGTAGCATGCCCCACACACTGGGCTTGCCGTAAGCGCATTGTGTGTTCCTACATCCATTATCAAATATTAGCGAGACGATGAAAGGAGCTAAACATATTGAAAACTATTATGATCACATTCAAATAACATACCCGCAGCTTTGTCAAATTTCCTTCGGTCTTATGCGTTCACTGCAGTTCGTCTCACGCGACAACAGCGATCGGTTGTCTTGGTCGATTATCTTATCGTTCACGCCATTTTCATTCGCGCCAACCTGCCTGTCGCCAAGCGCGTGCGACCAGTCTGACGCGTCAATGAAGATGTTCTTGTTGTTCGGACGGGGAAGGTTTTGCGAGCATCAGAACCTTTCGGCGCCAGCCCATGGACAGAGCACAATTTGCTACGAGAGATTTGGGTCTTTTGGGACGGAGTCAGCGTGAGGTCAAGCTAGGAGCAAGTAAATATGAAAGGAAGCAAACATTGTTTTTTCCTTTCTTGCCCGCTATGATTTCAGTTATTAGCAAAATGAGGAAATATCGTTTCACGAAAAATCGTTGCCGTTACCGAACGCAGCAATAACATGACGTTTAACTCTCGCCATGATAGGCGGCGAATATCGTACGTGTTTCGATACCAAAACGTGTTCCTAGATTTCCTGGTTTTGGAGCAGCGGCAGTTTGTGATGAACGCTCCACGGCGATCTGCGGCTGGCTCAGGCGGCGGGCGGCAACATCATTGTACTACAGAATAT